AATGTAAACAAAGTCTTTGCAAATAGGGAAGGGTGGAGGGGGTGAAGGGAGGGCTAGAAATGGGGAAAAAATAAGAACCAAGATGCATCATGTAAAAGTACAAGTTCCCAATGAGAGATGTAAATGTGTTGTATACCTAAAATGTACCAATAAAAGAATTTTTTTAAAAAAGTTGAACTCATAAAAAAAAAAAAATGGCTGGTTTTTTTTTTCCCCCCCAAGAATATTTGCTAATTTTATTAAGGACTGAGATTTTGTTGCCATCACACTTATATTTCTAAAACTTATAACATGCATACAATAAAATGAATAAAAAATAGATTAAGGAAATGTGTTGAACAAAGGCAAGAAGCCTTTTGTAGCTTTCCTGATCTGTATGAAAATGGCTGTTGTTTTAAGCTTTTGGCTTCGGGGTAATTTATTATGCAGCAACAGATAAATGGCATTAAAAAAAAACGAGTTAGAAAATTTGCCAAGTTTATAATACATGAAACTGAGCCGGTTTTCAGGAAGAAGGAAAGATCATTAAAATTTAATTTTCCATCCCTACTTCTGTTTTCTTTCCTTACCTCATAATAGTGTCTTTTCCTCTACAACCTACCAGTTGGAAGGAACAAGATTATAAGTAGTGAGGACAGAGTATAAATAAAAGCAATCTTAATACATTAAAGGTATTACACTTTCTATAAAAGTATAAAGTAGAATATGTATGATGTCCATAACAGAAAGATACCAAATTTTAAAAAATTTAAATGAGTATATATATTTATTGCATCCCCAGCACATTTAAGTATCCGGAGAAGCCCTAGAAAATCTTTAGTAAATGAAGTAGAAATTCTCAAAAAAAAAAAAAAAAATTAAAACTTTTGAGAAGGGACAGTCTTGTGTTCATTAATCCTTTATGTTGAGGCCAACTTAGGTCAGGATAGATGAAGTTAAGAAGTTTTTTAAATTTTGTGACAAAGTTGTTTTTTTTTGGTACCAGAGATCGAACTCAGGACGTTGCGCTTGCAAAGCAGGTGGGGAAACCACCATATCCCTGGCCCTGTGGCACATACTGATAGGAAAGTTGAAAAATGAGGTCACCAAATTTATAGCACTACATTATAATGTCCCCATACTTATTACTCATCTAGCTGGGTAGTCTTATGTATTACTTTAAGATACAAAGATTCTGATTTTCCAAGTTTAGGTGTGATAAGAGATGAAAAGAATTGTAATAATGACAAAAATGTCCAAGTATATAAATCTGAAAAATATAGTTTTTGGTTTTTTTGGTACCGGGGATCAAACTCGGGTCCTTGCACTTGCACAGCAGGCAGTGAAACCACTGAGCTAAATCCCTGGCCCTGAAAAATATAGTTTTAATTGGCTTTAAATTTGTATATCCTATAATGATCTGAAACTTTACCTGCCTCCAGTCCCTCCTGACATAAAACTAACTCCTCTGATGGTCCCTGCATGTTTCCCATGTCAGGAAAGGTCAACAAGTCTTGCAGCCTACCACTATCTGGTCAGTTACTCAGGACAAAAACTTAAGTTGTGATCCCTGAATGCCTCTACCTCCTTCTTCATTTTACATGTGTAATTTATCTGTAAGTCCTGTCCACTAAGCTTTTCCATGTGTCACCACCTTTAGGGCCAAGATCTTAATCCAAGCTACCATCAGTTCTAGAATGTGTACTGTTAAGGCATGTTCATTTGTTTCTTTGATTCCAACCACTAGCTTAAATGTATCTTTAAAACAAAAATTAAATTTGTATCACTCCTGTGATTAAAACCCTTGTATGCCTGCCCTCTGTACTTGGAATACATCCAGTTCTTTACCATGACCACAACACCCCACATAAGCTGAGCTCTCCTCATACCCTTGTGTTCTCCTCCTTGTCCACCATGCTCCAGCCATAAGGATCCTCTCTCCTTTCATAAGCCAAGCAACCTTCTGCCTTTCTATTTGCCAATCCTCTGCTAGGCACCCCACCTGAATGCCCCAGGTTTCATGGCAAGCTTTTTCCTTTCTAATCATTCAGGTCTCTTACTAAAATATCATCACTAGCTTCTCTAGGAAACATCTCAAAATTAGCTACTCCCCTCATCACAGTTCTCTATTACTTTTAGCCTGCTTTGTGTCCTTTGCTGCACAAATCATTATCTGAAATCCACCCCCACTTTTTTTGGTAACAGGGATTGAACTTGGGACCTTGTGCTTGCAAGGCAGGTAGTGGAACCACTGAGCTAAATCCCCGGACCTGAAATCACCTTTCATACTGCCTGTCTTACCTACTAAAATAGAAGCTCTGTGAGAGTAAGGACCATGTCTGCTCAGAACCAACACTGAGAACAGTACCTGGTATATGGTGATACAGTACATGTTTAACATGCAGCTATTAAATGAAGACATGTAATAAAAATTAGTATAGCCACAATTTACTGTTTTATATCCATGAGGCATTTTTCTCTCTAACCTTCAAAATAATCATATAAGGCAGATATGAATTAAATCTACATTACAACAGAAAAATAATTTGCAGAAGGTCACTTATAATAGCTTAAGTAAATTATTTAACCTCTCTCCTCTTTAGGATTAATCTTTTTCCCATTGTAAACATGGCAGAACCAGGATGCAAACTTAGGTTTTTTTGACTTTAAAAACTAGGATTCTTTTTTTTTTCTCCACCATCAAGTTTATTGGTACATTTTAGGTATAAAATATATTTACATACATCATTTGGATCTTGTAC